TTCATTTTATTTGTATAGCCCATATTCACAAATTACAATTTGTCTCATAGGGCTGAGCAGGTGTGACATCTTCTGTCCTCAACCCTGAACAAGAGTAAAAACTACCAATAAAACCCTATTCCTGAATATACAACCCTTATTTCTTACTGGCAATAATTCTGCTGCATTTTATTTAAGGACATCAGCTGCATCAAGTTAACAACCTGTTGGTGGTATTCTACTCAAACTGCACGGAGAAAACAAATAAATATATGTTGGTTTACATTCTGGATTCTGGAAAACCATACATTATCTATCATCCCCTTACTTTGGGCTGTGGGTCCCCATTTAGTCATTCATCTCCATAATGTTTTAGAAAATGTTTTCAGGGGGAGACTTTTAGGAGAAAAGTCAGCAGAGAAGTGGCCACACTCATTGACTGACACGTGCAGCACAGCTCTGTAATACTGATCAGCAACAGAAACAATAGGTCAGGTCAGGTCCAAAATAAATCAAATTAATAAAATGTTCTATTTGTCTAGTGTAACACATTACTCTCAGACCATAATACACTTCAAAATATCCATATGGCATAAACTGCTATCAGTGATATAGGTAATCATCAGCTTGCATTGTTAAACTCTACATCTTAAAATCCCATTAATTGTATGGTGGGAAGTCGTTTTTTGAACACTTGAAGGAGATATTTTCAGAATATCTGTATTATAATTAAGCAGAAGAGCAGAAACTGTTCAGTCAGAGAAACTGCCAGCAGCGTTGCATACCAATGATTTGGACTGACATTTAAGATAACTGTATATTTTTGAGATGCAATTATCTTGCTAACGGAAACTTCACAGGGAACTCTTGCCCCTTTGTCAAGGAAGAGGAATGTGGGCGAGCCAAACAAATATTCAGAAATCTGGTGACCTCAAGGGCAATGTTGGCACAGCTCAATCTCAGCTGAGTTTCATTTTTGGTTTGTGCTGCAAAATATGCAGGTGTGAGAAACAGATCAGAATGAAAAAGGCAAAAGTCACAAGGAAGAAGGTTAGACGACTTAATAGATGTGTGTGTCTAACTCCATCATCTGACACCAGAAAAGTTTTCATCTCTCTCTGCGAGCGAGTGGAAAAGGAGACACAGTTAAATGCCAAATGGGTACCAAAGTTTCACTGCACCTTCTGCTGTGCATAAACTCATAAACGCAGCCCATCTGGATATAGTGTGTTAGTCTGCCGACATTAAATTACAAAATGGATTTGACGAACAGTTTTACCTGCATTTCAGTCTGTGCTTGATTTGCACTAATAAATAAACCTTTCAAGTCTTCATTTATCTCATAAAACAAGTGAATCAAATTGATGGTGAGCTTTGATTTTACTAAATCAATGTGCTGTATATAAATGAGGTATGGGGTTAAGTGTTTAACGGTCTAGTTGTAGTCTGACCTGAGGCTACACCTCTTTATATACAGTCTATGGGCTACACACTCTAACTTCTCTCTTCAACACAGAGGGTGAGGAAGAATACGATGACCTGACTGATGCTGTGCGGCTTGTGAAGGAGGTGATCGCAGCGGTGGACAGCAAGGTGAATGAGCACGAGAAAAGGCGGCGTCTGAAGGAGTTCCATGGTCGCATGGACAGCAAATCCATCATGATGACAAAGAGCGGTCAGATCTTCGCGAGGGAGGATCTGCTGAGGAGGAGGCTGATCCACGATGGACCTCTGCAGCTGAAGAACAGCCAGGGAAGGTTAAAGGGTGAGCATGCTTCAGTAGTTTTCAGACATCAACTCTGGAGAATGTCCGCACATTTGGGTCTGGGAATTTCTCCGGCGTTTGTGTTTTACATATGAACAATGTAGCAGGAGATTCTCTGCTAAGTCGCCTTCACAACAATTTGGTAATCCTCTGGAGCATTCATGTGAGGGGTGATGTAGTAGATCGAGGCTGGGTGTAATGTATTCTGCTGCAGAGATCCCATGTTTTTGCTAAAAGCACATCAACATTTTTTTTCCATTTTGTTTTTTTCATTTTTGCATCTCTCGCATGTTAGCAACACATCCACTAATGTGCGGTGAATGTTGCGGACTTTGACATGGGATCATACAGACATTGTCCAGAGTTTTTACAAGGGGGCTGGCTGGAGAAACACTGGGGAAAGTCCGGAGCCTGTCACTCGGACATTTGCCCCTCAGTGTATGTCTGTAAGCAGCTTATTACTGTATGTCCCTACCGACTGTCTCTTTCTCTATTTAAGTAAGTGAAATATGTCATTGTATTTAAACTTTTTTCTTATACACGTGTCGATTTTTCTCCCAATGATTCTCCAGATGTTCAAGCTCTTCTCCTGTCAGACGTCTTTGTCTTCGTCCAAGAAAAAGACCAGAAATATGTCTTCGCCATGCTGGTAAGATCCTGTCGTCATCTTTCTCTCTCTCTCTTTCTCTCTCTCGCTCTTTCTTTCTCACTCTCTCTCTCTGTCTCTCTCTCTCTCCTCCTCCCCCCACTCCTTCCTTCTTCTTCTTTTTCTGTCTCTCTTCTCTCCTTCCTTTATTGTTGCTCTCCCTCCCCTCAATATAAAGATCTTGTGAGCACTGCCAGAGATGTTGTCATATTTTCCTATTCCACTTTTGTTGCTTTTCACATTAGCTGCCATTTGCTCGGCATTCCCATCATCTTAAGCTTGCTAGCTGAACCTAATAAAGCTGATTCGGCCCCAGGCAACTGACCCAATGAGATAAATCATATAGGTTTGACTAATTTTTTCCATTTTTACAGGATTCACAGTTTAATGGCATTGTGAACCCACATTTGCTCTCCGTCGCCCTCTCACACACACACACACACACATTTTTGTGTCAGGAGGATAAAAACAGAGGCAGGCCTGTGGCATAATAATCACATCCATCATTAAAAAAAGGCTCTGAGTGTTTGAGTTGTGGCTGTTGACATTGAACAAGCGGAAAACGTGTTTCTTTATAGAAGGCAGCCACGTGACCCTGACTGAGTTTTGGGGAGGGGTTAGCTTCACTTCTGAGGTTTACCAACAGACGTCACATCACCCAGACAGGAGATATGATATGTTTCTGTTAGGCTGTGGTCAATAATATGAAGCTTCAGGAGCCTGAATAAGCCAAATCAGAGGCATCATCCAAGGTTATGGCCTTTTTTAGTGTCAATTCCATCTTGCCACAGACAGGGTTTCTTGCTGAGCTGCAGTGGAAAGATAGTCTGACAAAAAGAGTTTTGTATTGAAAATGTCTGTAACTTGAACTCTGAACTTTAAAAATACATCTCTGCCCAGATATTTATTTCTTTAAACCTCAGACGAGAGATACCAGGAAAAATGTGAGGATGTGGTTACGTTTTCTGAGTTTTACTGGACAGAACAGACACAGCGGTTTGTGGTGTTACTGCACTAAAAAGTGCTTCAGTTGATGCTATTAGACAGCAGAATCTAATGTTGATGATAACCAGAACCTTATTCTGTCTTCCTTACCCTTTATTCTACATCTTTTTCATTTTATAATACCCCTTTTTTCTGACTGCCCTTCCATCTGTCTCTCTGTCTTCACTGCCATCCTTTTCCTTTCCACTAATTATCCCTTTCTTCATCTCTCCCTTCTTTTTCTCTCCTAACCCCTCATCCTGTCTTCACCATCCTCTCCCCTCCGTCACCATATGTTCCCTCCCCCTTTCCTCCTCGACCCTCCCACTGTCATCTTTTCTTGTTCCTTTCCCTCTCCTGCCTCTCCACCAATCCTCCCCCATCCTTCTCCACCTTCCTCTCCCTGCAGGACCAGCGCTCCACGGTCATCTCCCTCCAGAAGCTGATCATCAGGGAGGTCGCTAACGAAGAGCGCGGCCTGTTCCTCATCACGACGGGCATCGAGAAGCCAGAGATGATGGAGGTCCTGGCCAGCTCCAAAGATGAACGCAACACCTGGATGCAGCTCATCCAGGACGCCATGCAGTCCATGTAAGTAGAGTATATTTAGGGTTTATTATATGAAAACATCTGGAGGTTAAATATGCACAGACTTGTTTTATGTATTGAGTATTTTGTTATCCCAATTTTTGAATCCAAACATAGACACTGACCTGACCCACCCCATTCACTCTAACCCATAATCATGATTGCAAAACAAATTTCATAGTGCTTTTCATTCATGTTTGGCCTTTTAGAGTTCACCAGCAGTACATTTGTGTTGTAACCCAGGAGTTAGACCGAGCCAGAGTCTCTAGATAGTAATATACGGTAAGCTGCAGCAGAGCACTGTGCTGTCAGGAGGATTAGCACTACTCTACCTGGGGATGGGATGTACTCAGGGACAGTCTAATGCTGGATTGGCTTCAAGGGCAGCTCTCTATAAGCAGAGGATTATTCCACTACAGCCAGCGGGAAGGAGAGAGATTTAATACTTGGTTCCTGTCGCTCCCTGTCTGACTTCCATCAAAATATAAAACTGAGATCAGGCTATTGGCAGGAATACGAGATTAAAAAAAAAAGTTTTCCCACTGATAGTCGGATGGTCTTTTCCCCCAAAAACATAATACCTATCACATTTTCGGGAACTCTCATCTTTTTCTAATTTGTTTTCCTGTTATATCAATGTTGGACATAATGATTGATCATAGATTGGCCTCAAGCTAGAAATTATATAATTAGACTGGCTCAGTTCATAAAATGTGAATAATGCATTTTTGCCTCACAAACTTTAATTAATTATCAAATACCTGAGGCGTTGATATTTATGATACTATAAATAAAACTGACTTATTAGTTTATTTATTTATATTTATACTAACTAATATCAGCATTGTTATAGATGTTTTTATCGGTATAAATAAAAATATACATATTTTGAATAGTGTAGATTTTGCCCAATTTAAATGATTGCAGAATTCTTTCCAGTGTTGTTTAAGGATATAGATCTAATACATCATATTTAATTTTCTCGGTTTGACAGGGACAGAGATGAGGATGAAGGGATTCCCAGTGAGACAGAAGATGACAAGAGACAACTAGAGACTAAAGCCAAGGAGATGAGAGGTGAGAGAATGAAAACTGGGATGAATTTGCCTAATGTCACAAAACATTTTCCTCACCATCTTCCTCTCTTTTCCCGTCCACTTGTCTCTGCTGGTCAGATCTGCTGAGGCAGAAAGACACAGAGATCATGTCCCTGTTGGAGGAGAAGGTGCGGCTCTTCAGGGGCATGTGGGAGGGATTAAATCCAGCCATGGAGGCCTGCCAGCAGGTCGAGCCTTTCTTCAGATCAGCCTGCAGCCTGGAGCCCCCCAGGGGGGCGTCCATCATGAAGGATGCCCTGCAGGAAGGTAAGAGAGAAAGGGAGTCTTTATCATATATGGGCTTTTAGCTGCATCTTGAGTCCTCTATTTTCAGCCTCTATTTGTCTACATTTTGGCAAATTGGCACCATAAAATTGTAAATAATGTGAAATAAGCGTTCAATGCCATGACTAAGCAAACAAATTCAGTCAAGAAAATACCAGTCTGGAAAAATTCTTAAGATTCAACCAGCCAGAGTTTGTGACGTCACCAACCTCGGAGAACATCCTGTCCACTTGCAAGTGGAGCTCAGTAGCTAGGAAAGGAGAGACGAGGAGCAGGGGTAGATCCCAGTCACGAAATGAGGAAGGGGAAGGAAGGTGTAGAGTTATACTTGAGCCATTTTAACACCATGAAGGGATTTTATTCATGACAAATGCTTTGAATATGTAATTTTGGGGAACAAAGACAAGTTTAAAGATGTAATAAGTTACTGGAGTGGGACATTAACAGCATCTCGATTATTCACAGTCACTGGATTATTTTGATAAATGGGAATTTTAAAAGTTTAAATTCTTAAAAAGAGTAACAGAAGTTGTTATTCTTTTTATCTAAGTGAAATCATTGTCATATGGAGATATATTAAGTGGCACTGAATTAAAAAATATGCATATCATGTTAGTGTTACTCCAAGATGGAGAATTTGCATTGTAAATCATGGGCAAGTCAGTAAAACCCTTGAATGACAGCAGCCATCTGTCCCTTTCCCCTCGCGTGGTCTTTCCTCAAGGCTTAAATCGCTGTCTGGGAGATATCATATATCATTCATTAATTGATAGGTAAATGAACTGTAACATAGCAACAAACTTAACACCACTCTGTAGTTTTTCAAGCTAATTCGCTTCTCTTAACATTTCTGTCAAAAGGGTGCACTGCACTATTTGTTTTTGTGTCTGCATGAAAGTTCCATTTGGACCAACCTGTGGAGGGCCAGATGACCACTCGTTAGTTTAAATAAAAACTGGTTACTAGCTGAAATCCATTAGCTTAAGCGTACTTCATAGTTCACCTTTTTTGCGATATTTGAAAAGCAATCTGTGTGGTAGTTGGATCTCAACAGAGGTGGAGGGAGCAGAAGTTTGAGTAAGATGGTGTTTGTGTTTTGGGATGATTTAAAGAGAGTGTATAGAAAGCATATAAGGAGCCAGAGTGTGTTTAAGGATTTCATTACAGCTCTGCTTGGTGCTTTGGCAGCCCCTGTTCATCAAATGTGTATGAGAAGAAAGCAGCGTGAGCTGAGAAGTGAACGGAGAGAGATTCTTTATTTTGTGACAAAGAGAGAATGAAATGTGGAGAAAAGAAGCTGGCTGCATTCTCTGCATATGAAATTGACTTTAAATTCAAATAAGCAGGTCTTGAAAAGTAAAACTTCTGCAAAAATACCTATATACAGAGTATTTCAAGCCAGAGAGTGTCAGAAAGTATCCTTAAAACATTTTATCAGGTTGAATCATGAAGAAACTTATCCCACTAGTATTCAAGACAGTTTGACTTCTACACTTAATGAAAGACTTTTTTTGTCTTCATCATTAATGAAAAGCTGCAGAAAAAACTAGTGTCGTAAGTCAGTGTCATTTGCAGTGCAGTGCTGTGTAATCATAAATCATACATCTCCCGGCATATTAGATGTACCAAGAGCTACCTTGTGTTCTGTGCTTTTGCATTTTAAATAATATACACTCACTAAAGCTGGGCTCAGACCACAGGAGTTCCAGGCTGAATTAACCCTGATTCTGTCCCACCAAGAGTCAGAAAAATCTTAGTCAGCGTTGATGTTAGTCCCAGATTATTTGGTAGTGCGAGGAGTTAGAAAGCCATTCTGAAGCCCCGTGAGCTGCCCACAGAATCACTGCAGCCACTTTGATAATTATCACACGTGTTTGATATTTAGGATTTAAAATGCAGATGATTACGTGAATACTGCCACAACAGCCATTGAGAGAGACAGAGATTGGATAACATTCTGAGGCTGACATCCGCTAGCATGTTACTGTTGAAAGCTACTGTATAATAATCTCACCGGAGGAATAGATAACTCGTGCTGACCTCGTCTCCCTGACCGTTTTCTCATCCACACTCATTTAGCCTTCTGCTTTTTATTAACATTAGGGCAAGTTGCTAATCTTGTGTGGACATGATTAAGATTGTTGAGGAGAATATCTGATTCTCTTTATTTTTGTGATGGAACTTGATTTCAAAATCACTCAGGTTTTTAAAACTCCTGCCCAGCTTGAGATTCAACTCTCAAACTGTCACCTGAGAGAGTTGAATTACTCTAAATCGTGATGGGCTGGTTGAGAAAGGGCACATAAATGCGTCTCTTACACTAGTGATGTCTAAATACTGCCGCAGGAAAAGACAGTTTGCAGGTTTGGTAACTGTGACATTTTGTGTGCAGCTCTAATGCAGGGAACATTTATGAACAAGAAGTTGTGAAATGGTTTTCAGCAGAAGGTTTAGCTACAGTATTACAGAATGTATTTTTCGCCTCCTCCCTCCTAAGCCTGGGGCAGTAATTGTCCTTATTTGATATGTGAATTGGCAGCAGTAATGTCATTTCTTACGCTTTTTCTGCTTCCACATCCACCATCAACAGCTTTGTTTCTCCTTATTTTCACTGGGGAATTCAGAGTCCTGCACGCTGCATATGGATACTGCATATGTATATCAAGAATATATATTATCTCTGAAGGAAAGGATGTTTAAACTTTTAGTAAAAGAGCTCTCTGGTTCAAACAGATTGCCAATAGTTGCTTAGCAACTGGAGCCTATGCCAGGTTGAGTGCCTGGTGGGATTCATGAGTGCAGAGCTGAAGTGTAACACAGTTAGCCAGGATAATTCACTTACTGACCTGCACATTGTGTGTGTTTGTGTGTTTGCGTGCGTGTGTGTGTGTGTGACAGTGGAGACGTTACAGGCACTGGTGAACGGCAGTCTGGGCGGAGCGATGGCCAATATCCAGGAAGGAGGAGGGGTGGGGCCGGTGTGTCTGCCGCGTCGCGCCGAGACTTTCGGAGGCTTCGACAGTCACCAGATGCACAGCAGTAAGAGTAAGTCTGTTGATGTTGTGTCCACTGAAACTGCACCTTTGAACCCTGTAACAGTCAACTCACCTGCTGATCCGGACAACTGTACAGGCCTAATGACTTGACTGCAATTGCCCCAAGTCCAGCACGGGTAGAAAAGTTAAATATTTCAGTTTTTCTCCACTGCACCTGGCACTTCCCTCAATACCCCTGTTAAGTGCAGTTAGATAAAACATTTTAGACAGAGCCTTAGACAGTAGAGCTGAAGTTTCCAAAGGGAGTCATAGCCTGGGGCGATACCTCTGAACTCTGGTTGCAAACTCAGAGTGGGGCTCTACTGACAGTGTGGCAGATATTGAGCTGTAAGATGTCCACACTTATAAATCAGTACACAATAATACATAGCTTTTTTACCAGCGAAACACTACATTTACGCATTATTTTGTTCAAGAAGCAGAGATTTTATAAAAATCAGATGATATTAATAGATACAATTCCAATGAACTGCATTAGTAATTGTATTAAAGGAGGGTTTAGCAGTGAAGAGATTTGTGTGAGTGTGGAGGGATGTAAATGAAAAGGCAAAGGAGAAACAAAATGTGTATAATAGTATTATAATAAATAAATGAGTATAAGAACAGGCCAAGCATCATTTACAGAAGACATATATCATTTAACATTAAGACAAACAGGGCAGAAATTTAGGTCAGCAGTTCTTCATGATGTATTATTGACAAAAATAAAGAATTAGAGTGTAGCCCTGTGTTTCTTTCCGAGCCAAAGAGGAAACTAAGCCCAACACAAGCCTGTTCGTCTACCCTACCCTAATGTTTTTCCAGAGTACAGGCACATGAAGTGTAGAAACTCAAGTAGGTAACCCATTCAGTATTACTAAACCAATTTTTATCCAAACCTTGAGGGCTCGGTTCAAGAATCTACACTCTACAATGAACCACTTGGTACAATAATGAACAAGCAGATCTTAATCTTTAGAGAAAGATGAGTTGGTTGATTGTCACCACCGTTGGTGCAGACTGTATAGGTTCATAGAAAAGTCCACTGTCTGTCTCCTGATAGCCTGCTCATTTTATCCGTGAGTCTGATGAGGCTCCCACTCTGCTGTAGAGACACAGAATGTTGAATGTAGAATGAAGACATTTTAACTTTCAAATGTTTTTTTCAGCACTGAAAGCCTAGGCTGTGAATGAAGAGCATGTAATATCAGAAAGATGAATAACTTAAATTATCTGTACCTTATCTGTTTTAGATAAAAGTACATATTCACTATTGTCAGCTTGCACAAATTATACATAGATATTACACATTTCCGGTGTGATTTTTTTTTTTTAGCTTTCCCTGATGATCGAGGTTTTTATCCTTGTGGAGGTTGTCGACATGTGTGTGATCAGCAAGGGACTGACATTCACATACCTCTTTATTCATTTATATGATTCTTTTTATAACTCTCATTTTTTAATGATGCTCTTCCTCTTAAAAAATACTATTTTCTTTAATTATTTTCCAGCTCTAATCTACCAGCCTCTGGTATACTCTTTTATAGAATCACCTTTGACATTGATCTGTGAATTTGTTGCACATCTGCAGTCACAATTGTGTTGAACACCTATTGACGTTATTCTGAATATAATCATCTCTTTACATGGTCTCAGAATGTGAGATGATTATTTGTTTTTCCCGCATCTGTTCTCATATTCTCTTGCAGTAAACCTGCCTCTGAATGTGGATTTTTTTTCACCTGCCTCATCTTTTTTCCTGTGGTTTCAGGTGGAGACAGAGACGAGGGTGAGGATACAGCGGGAGATCTGCGCAGGACGGAGTCTGACAGCGTTTTGAAGAAGGTCAGTTTCTCACTGGCCAATTATTCTTGACTATGAAGCCACTAAACCCCCACACCTCAATGAGAACTTGAGGCTGTGTGTGGGGGTGCGTTTGTCTACATTATTAACAATAAATTAAGATAAATTTAGCCGCTTCTGCTCTTTCAGTGAATTAGCCTCTTGACTTATCCTGCCAGGTCCCGTTGCTCATGGCAACATCAGTTGTGTAACAATTCAATAGTGAATGGAAATGAATGAGCCACCTTTAGCCGCTGCCACTGTGGCTCTGCACTGGATGTTTGTTTTTGTTGCCATTTATCTTGCATATATCCAGCCGCTGGACTGCACATAATTGTTTTCTGAATCTTTTAGTAGAACCAAGCTTCAGCAGTGTGCTGCCTAACAAATGCACTTTTCATGTCTCTGAGCTCACACATCAGGACAGCTTGATCTCATCCTGGTCTAAAGAGTTAAAGCACTTAAAGAAGGGACTGTGTGCAGAAGTCCCACAATCATCATTAAAAATACAATGCAGAGCTAATCTAAGCATTTTTCTATATCTACATAGTTAACTTTTTTCTTTAAAAAATTAGGGATTCAACATATTGTAACAGCTGCAGCACTGCTGTGTTACTGTACAGCTGTTCATCATCATCATCATCATCATAGTCATCATCATCATAGCCGGATACAGATTACAATTTACAGCACACCCACATGTGCAGCTATAATCACATTCCGATTCATACTGTACAGTATGCATCCTCACACACACTCAGAGATGTGCATTACTGTGTTCTAGCTGTACTCAGTGTGTGTTTGTGTTTATGCGCAGGGAGGAAATGCCAACCTGCTGCTGCTGCTGAAGAGGAACAGTGAGGTAACATGGACTTCCTGCCTCTTTAATTCAATCAGAACTCTGCAGCAACAACATTGTTTGCAGCATCGATAAAAGGAGGCTATAACAGCAGTGGTTGTAGTTGCAATACTATAGAGTGTTCGAATCAGTAGCATTACATTTTCAAATGCAAGAAGAGACAGATAAACACACTAAAGGGTGAAAGAGAAGTTCTCGTGTGAGAGAGAGAACTGAATAATTGTAGCTCAAACTATGAGGTTCGACTGTCAATGAAGAATGTTAAAATGTTATGGACGGCAAATAGCGCTGCACACAACTATACAATGCAGCAATGGTGCACAACATGAAGAGATGTCTTATATTATGAGACGTGCAAAAATATTTTTCTGTTCATTATGACAGGATGGTTTAGATCAGATACAGATTCTGTAACAAGTAAAAAAAAAAAAAAAAACATAATGTGAAAAAGGTTGCATTTAATCTGCGTTTGTATGTTAAAATAAATCACATTTTGTAAAAGTTGTGGGGAAAAAATACACAAAATCATTTATTCATATTAAACCCAAAACAAAAGAAAGGTCAAGGAAAAATCCAATAAACAAGAAGCTACAGGGTGTAATTATGAAATATTAACCAGCAATAGATACTGGATTTATACAACTTGATAATAATTTTCTTGTGCAGATGGGCTGGTTAATAAATGTTTGTCTGTGCAGTTCCGAGCGAACATTTATTGGAGAATGTTGTGTCCTGATAAACACTGAAAGCAGCTGAACGCTCGGCGGCCTTGTCTCTTTGTCATTGTTTGAATGGAGAAAAGGTCACACATCATTTTAAAGTTGTTTAAATGCTGGATTAGTCTTGCACTATTAAATTCACATTACATGAAATCCACTGTTATTACTGATAAAATGAAAAAGGCCGTGTTTTGAATGGAGTGCAGCTACCACTCATGGCATTTTTTAACAAGCGGAGTCCAGTGCAGCAGTAAGCAAAGCAACATTAAAACAGTTTCCTCCACATACAGCTGAATAGCATTTTTCTGCCATGTAAAAATAACGATAAGAAAAATGTTTTGAGGTTCTGTGATAGTCAGTGTCTCTGTTTTCCAACAGCAGGTCCTTCACAGTGTCTCCAATCTGCATCTGCTGCTCAGCACCTTGCAGGTAAGATGTAACCAAAGCGCTCCACATCACATGTGAAATGATGCAACTCTGTGCAGCCTTTAGCTGATTGTGTGAATTTAAAAACTGAACTGTCGACCCTCAGAGTCTGCAATGCTCCCAATATGGTGCATTCAGAGAAAATATGAATGTCTCTAATACTTCGCCAAACACCAGGCAATAGCGTGAGTGATGTGTCCCACTCTAATCTCTGTTGGTTGTGAATGTGTTGAATCCAGGCGGTGGTGGTCCAGCAGGACAGCTTCATAGAGGACCAGCGGCAGGCCCTGAGTGAGCGCTCCTCCTCCTGCACGTCTTTGACGCGGCCATCCTCGCGGCCCAGCTCCCTGATTGAGCAGGAGAAGCAGCGCAGCCTAGAGAAGCAGCGGCAGGAGTTGGCGTCTCTTCAGAGACAGCAGGCAGCTCATGCTGAGGAGAAGAGGAGGAGGGAGAAGGAGTGGGACATCAGAGAACAGCAGCTGACTGAAAAAGAGCTGCTGGTGCACATACAGGTAACAATACATTACTTTCTGCTTGTCCTGTGTGTTGTTATTTATGTGTGTTTCTAAGCAGCTGTAATTAACTCCATCGAGGAGGTTATGTTTTCACCCCTGTCCGCTTGTTTATTGGTTGGTTTGTTTGCTTATACACAAAAACTATAGAATGGATTACCATGAAACTTGAAGAGGTATAGATTAGGCAAGGTCCCATTAAATCAGGGGACAGATCCAGGAGTTCTTTAAAACTAAATGTTGTGAGATTTTTTAGACATTATCACTTATTCCCTAGAGTCTAATTCATGATTCATGATTCTTGATGAAAGAATCAGGTATTTGTAGAGAACTAAGGGAGTATGGAGCTGTGAAGGTATCCGTTCTACTGTGTGCAATTCTAGTCGGTTTATTTATTGTTTTTTGGTTTGTTTGGCTTGATAAATTCTTACTGATCAACACAAAATGCTGATAATAGCAGCTCGTAGCAGTGGAAATGTGGTAGTGAGGAAGGAATGGACTTTTTTTTCTTTCTGATACCTTCATAATGTTGACAGTAAACAAAGGTGTCAGCTTCAGTTCTGTAAACTCTGGTTTAATGTTCCAGTTAATTTACAGCTTCGCATTGATACTGATCACTGTAATTTTAATGATTAAACTTACAATTAACTGAAAAAACAGAAAATTAAGTGAGGTATTTAAATGTGGATGGAAAGTTGATGTTGAAGATGATGTTCACCATTCGTTATTTTTATATATATATGTATATAACATAATTTACATCATTGACATAAACTAGAAGTGGGGGGTTGGTGGTGAGGAGTATAGGAAAAGGTGGGGGGTGAGAGGGGGCATCTGGAAGGAGGGAGGAATGGGGTGTGGGTGGGGTAAGGAGGGTTGAAGGAGGTTTCAGGACAAACGTCCACTCATTCCTCTCTTCATTGGAGAGTGATTTGTCTCCTGGTTCAGGAGTTTATCTTCGTCCTCCAGCTGCTCCACCTTTCCCCTCCACTTCCTCTCAACCTTCTCCAGCTCGTTCTCCATCTCACGCTTGTCCAGGCAGGTGAGGTACGATTCGGTAGAAGCTTGTCTTTTTCTGACTTCTTTCGTTTTCAGCTCCTTATGTCGGACCTCCAACTCGAGCTTTATCCGCTCACTTTTTAGGTTGTGAACGTGCTCCTTGAGAGACTCATTTTCAGTTTTGACAGCCTCCACCTTTCCGCTGCTCATACCCTCAGTGGGAGACGTCTCCAGCCTCTCACAGTCTGCCTGACTCTGCTTCAGCTCCATCTCTTGGAGCATGAGCACAGCCAAGCAGTGAATGTAGGCGTAGGTGCGAGTGCGCCTTCTCTCTGTTTCACTTTTGATGAGCTTGTTTTTGGTTTTGAGCTCATCTTCAAGCCTCCTCTGTCCCATCTTGAGCACAGCAACCTGCTCCTTAAAAGGCTGTTTTTTTAAATCCACCTCCACTTCGCTGCTCTAGCTTTTTTCAGGCTGAGCCGGGTCCTGTTGCAGACTTGCCTCCAGACTCTCACACGACTTGGTCTTACACTCAGTGAGCTCGACCAAGCAGTCCATGTAGGTTTTGCTGCCAGCCTGACGTTTCTTGGTCTCTTTATGTAATAGATCATCCTTTTCTTTTAGCTGGTCCTTGAGCTGCTCCCCTTGCTCCGTCAGAGACGTGTTTCCTTCTTTTAGAGCCTTAATTTCAGTGACAGCTCTGACGAGTTCTGCTCTGAGTCACTTCTCGATGTCTCGTTGCACCATGGTTGAGAAGAAAGAGCAGATCTACTTCTTTATGAAGATTTGAGGAAACGTGCTCAAGTGAAAACAGTTGATGCACAGATTTAATATATAGTAATAATTATTAATACTATTAACTGATGCTGCTATTAATAACATCATTACACATATAAATATCACTCTTATTATTGTCACTATTCCAACCAGTCTGAAGGTTACACTTCTGTTCCTGGGCTCTCTTTTTTTCCTGCTTGAATTTTGTCAGTGTAAGGAATGTGTTATAGCAATTTTCTTAGTTGGGTACTTCTCTTTTAACCTGCTATCACGGTTTGTGGAGAGAAACAGCAGAAGTTATTTCTGTTTTACGCTGTAGTACCAAACAGTCAAATAATTGGCTTGGATTCACAAAAACTCAAAGAGGAGGCAGAGACTGGCCAGAGAAATGGAAGAGGGATGATCTGCTATTAAACAGTTGAAGATCTGCTGTGATACTTCAGATTTCAAGGAAGATTAATGTAAACCACAGGAAGCTATGACTAAACACTACAGCTTATGGGCTTTTTAGTAGCTTGAAAACTGAACACGACTCATTCTTTTTTTCCCTAAAGGGACGTTTTTGTGGAAACTTATGTTGTGTTTGCTATTGTGTGTCTTCCTTTTTATTTCTGAGAATGTCAGATTGTTTCCTCTGGAATGATAGGTCACTTCTGTGGGCCCATAAATAGATAGTTCACCCAAAAATGATGCGTTACAGGGGCAAACAGTGTTGCAGCCAAATTCAGAAGTATGGAAGCATTTTATGTTTTTTGTCTGTTTATTTCAATTGGATTGGATTTGGTGGCAACGCTGTTTACCCCTGATACTCCTAAAGTGTTTTGTGTATTTAACACTTCTCTCACCCCTCCATCACACCCCTCCACTATCCTTTTGATAAGACACTTGCCAATTTTGAAGCCAGAGATTATGATTCTTGTGGAATCTCAGGAAGTCCTTGAGGAAACTCACCTTATATTTCTGAAACTTGACTGGTTGGTAGGGTGGTGGTAAAGGTGATAACACTAGTTGATACCTATATTAACTTACAGAACTGATTCTTGCAGAGGCCATTTTCCCTTTATTTTTTTTAAACAGATGCAAAAACCTACAGACTTGTCCAACAGAGACAATGATAGACTAACTTCCTTTTCAGTCTGAACCATGCTGTGACCTGCATAATTTAAATATATCTATCAATGCACCGCTCTGCCATTGCAGGAGGAGGAGGTGCAGAAGCAGCACAAGAAGGTGGAGGACGAGAGGAGGGAGCTGCAGAGAAAGAAGGAGGAGTACCAAAAAGACCTGGAGAGGCTGAGGGACGCACAGAGGAAGCTGGAGAGGGACAGGGAGGCTGTGCAGCGGCATGTCGACAAGATGGAGGAGCTCCGTCTGGCTGAAGTAAGCAAGGACACTTTGGAAATCATAACAATAATAATAATAGTATGATTTGTTGCTCCATGCAGCAGAGCTGCCTCTTCTGTTGCCCCCTCTGCTGCAGAGGATCACTTACTGAACTGAGCCGGGAAGGATTCAGTGACTCAGTGGCACTTCAGCTGTTTGTTTATGGATGCCAATATGGGAGGCTTGAAAAGTTAAATTTAAGCACTCTTGGCATGGCAAACAGCAGAGTACAATTTCTAGGTTTTTATGCCAAAACTTCTTTTTGTCTGCCATTTGAGCTCATATCTTTATCAAGATAGACTTGCAGAAAAAATAAAACTACCTTCTCTCTCCCATATTCATTTGCAGATATAAACAACAACTGTTCATCTGTCTAATCTCCTTCTTTTACCTCCAGAGGACTCCCTCTACGACGTCTGATGAATCCCAGTTCCCCAGCAGCTCCCAGTCTCTGGAGTCGGACTCACTGGAGCTCTCCTCCTCCTCCTCCTGCTCCCTGCCCAGGCTGCAGCCCCAGCAGTCCAAACCCAAGGGAAAAGGCCTCAATCCCTTCACCTTATCCTCCACCAACACCAACCTCAAGGGGGGCGAAGCGAACAACCAGATCTCGAAGAGCCTTCTGCAGCTGGCCAAGAGCAAGAGCAAAGAGGGGAAGGAGAAGAAGAAGAAGAAGGGCAAAGGAGGGAGTGCACAGACGGCAGGTAGAGAATGAAACAGAGTGAGGGTTAGGATGGATTTACATTTAGTGTTCAGTGTCTTACCTTGAGTGAGCAGTGTGGAGTAACAAAAGAAGTAGGAAATAAGCAGCCAAAATAGTGGGTGATGGCTTGATTTGTGGCAAAAAGCCTAAAATTCAGTAAGTATCTTGTTCTGAAACTTGCCTTAAAAAGTTTTATGAAATTAAATTTAGTCTCACACAGGTGCATTAACAGAAAATAAATAAAGAGTGACAACACGACTAAAAAGCCAAACAACACTAGCACAACCACAACAGAGCTGAGTGACAATGGATGTTGACTGAAACGAGTAGAGTCAAGGGAGCTGTCGTTTGAGAAAACACAGTCAGGTCAGTTGAAGCTTAAAATCTGATGCATATCTTTATGAGTTGTTACGATGCAGGTGCTCGGAAGAACACAAACTTTCTTCCTTCTTGTGTGATCTGTACCGTCACACCTCAAATAGACAAGCATCACATTCTAAGCAGCCATGGATTTATCCAGGTTCTTACAAACGGTGGCTCACTTGACCACAGTAAGTAACCGTGCTCATTGATTGGATTGAACCATCAAACGTCTGGTTAGTGGACGACTCGCTCTACTCTAAAGTTTAATGTGTCTGGATTTTTTATTTCTGCTTAACTACGCGTGACACCTATAAAATCATCAGCATTACACTTTCAATAAAGCATCTGTATCAAATCCACATGACACAGAGAAATATGACTTCACCGACCGTTGAACACTTAAATCGTTGGTAGTACAAATCACAGCTTGTGCAGCTTCTCATGGGCGTTCAGTCTGCTCATGTATTTGAAGGAAACAGCTTTGTCCTCTTTATCTCATTGTAAATGTTACCACGGCCCACGCTGCTGCACAGTTACAGCACTAACTTAGGGCTTAACTTTCTGTTATTGCGAAGCTGGTTCATTTTTATCCAGGGTAAATCACCACGGTAACCTCTGCTGCATTACTGACATCAGAGGATGATATTAGAACCTGTCAACAGCCCAACTACTGACCGATGAATCATTTAGAATAATGATGAATGTCCACTTTTAGAGCAACTCTGGTCGCTGAAGTGAATTTTTTCCATTGATGTTTCAGAAAATCTTTATAAAAACAGTTTATGGAACCAGGCCGACCAGCTACAAAATGAATTGTGACCATAAAACATTTGATTTGGAGCAAAAAGAAAATGGCAAAGGTGCAAGACTTTGTACATAGTTATTTTAAGAGTGAAGGACATACACCCTTTATCCCATAAACCATTGCAAAACCACAAGCTGTCCCTCACTAACACTGTATTTCAATACATGACCTGTGATTTTCACCTTTAAACTCTTTTCCTCATCTCTAAAAAACACAGCACAGAAATTCACGGTTGCTCTGTGATAAAAGTAATGTAACGCTGAAACATCCGATTGTAGCTGATATGATTTTCATGGTTGTGGTAAACATTTCCATGGTAACGGCAAGCTCCATGAATCAGAGCAATTACTCCTGAGGATTAGTGTAGGACTTCTCCTTGACATCGCTAATAAAACATGTTTCTTCTCAAAACGCACTTGATATATATAGACTTGTGGCTTCTATAGGAGGACATAATATTGTTTCACAATACCGTAGCTTGTGGTAAGTCTACATTGGATGGTTAACAATTGGATGGCTGATAACCTAAAACTCTTTTTGGAAGATGAGTGGGATTTTTACTTCCAGAACCACGCTGTTGAACTGTTAAGAAAATAGGGAAATAAGAATTGAAATTAAGGTGACAAATACTGAAATGATGTTCTGGTTTGAAAATAGAGTTTCGAATAAAAAGAGGGAGAGTTAGTTCCAATAAATACATTTTAAATCCATAGATTTGAGTTCAAGATTATTTTACTAGTTAGTTTTGATGCTTTTCCCATTCTTACTCTTTACTCTTCCCATGATTACTGCAGCTCAGAGTGACATGAGGAGACTTTGTGCTGATCATTAGAAATAAAGACGAACCCCCCCTGATCTCCTTATATAAAAGCAATGACCCACACACTTACTTCCTACCACTACTACTCTCCTCCTCTCTCCTGTCTGGAGTCTGTCAGTAATATCTTATAAGCTTTTTGCATCATCAGACAAAACAAACAGTTGATTTTATTTACTTGAGTGTTTCTGCATCTCTTTCACCACCATGCACAAGTATTTTTCTTCTTTTCCTGATGTGAGTCACTTGTTTATTGTCATGATGATTTCCATCATAGAGAAAATATTGTGGATCAACAGCAGCAGTTTTTATTTGTTTTGATTAAATCTTAAATAAATATGAAAGAATAAATAAATACAGTTGTGGATATGAGACTCTGGCTCTCATATGAGCAGTGAGAACAGCTCCATTGAGCAGCTCACTGAGGCGGCTTCTGTCAATTCTTTAATGGAGCTCGATGATGGCGCAGCCCGCTCTGCTTAGGGTTTGATCAATATGAAGCAGGTTGATGCTGCTCACTAAACACCCCCATAGAATAAACATTACAACAGAACCCACTCTCTGGGAGAATCGTCTCTTATGCCAATGACACTGACTGTACTCTTCTCCTCCTGACAGACGCCCAGCACCGCCCCGAGCCTCCTCTCGATGGAGAGATCTTCTTCTGCTGAGAGAAGCGGTACCTCATCATCATCATCATCATCAACCCATCATTCCATTCTGACATCCAGAGGAACATGTTCTTGCAGTAGTAACACAAAATGCTGCAGTGTACTACCAGGCTTTTCAGCACCTTTGAATTTACATTAAAAAGACTCATTGGTTACTTTTCCCTATTAGATCATATAAGAGATTAACGTCACAGGCAAAGGTTTTTAAATCAAACACCACATTTTTTCGTTTCTGGAAAGAAGAATATTTTTGGGATTCTGTTATCGTAGGAGAATAGGCCCACATACACTCACAGCTTATTCAAATAGGAAGCATGGATTAGCTGTGCACATTTAGATAGTCTTTGTCCAAAAACCCTGTTTCCTTTTCCAAAGAAGTCATTATGATTTTGAAGAAAAAAATGTTTTTTAATGACAACTCACAGTGAAACGTCTCACAGTGGGTTGCCTCCACATCTCCACCAACTATCCTGACTGCCTTGTCATCACTCTCAACTCCTCAGCCTTTTTTCAGCAGTCCGTCCTGGCAACGACCGCAAATCACTGTTGATATAAGTTGGAGAATCATGGGGATTTCACCTCTCATAAACAGATGCAGACACATCTAAGTGCAAGTTGAAACAGATGAATGTAAACGTTGCAGTGGAAAACGCCTCTGTCCTGATCACCTTCATTAATCACAGAGGGCTGAAACCACATCTGCCGAAACTCTGTGTCCTAGCAACATTTGCCCATGTTTGTTCCAGTGATTCTTTCCAAAGTGCTTCTGTATAAATCCTCACTGAAGAAAGAAAGAAAAATGGAGCCTGACATTCCTTTACATGCAATTTGAAAAGCAGATGTGATTAGGGGCTCTAACTTTGTCTCCAGTTTTCTGAGCGATGATAACTTCAGCACTCGTTGACAATGATTTGATGCCATCAGTCACGATCCTCTATGAGGTTTGAATGTATTCAAATTGTTGATATCTCCAGTCTGGAGTGAAACCCTTCAGATGGTCGTGTCTGTTTTTCCCAGACTTAACAGCAATGAAAGGATTGAGCCATATCTGCCTGTGTCTAATGGCTCAATTCATATCTTTTAGTGTGTTGTAGAGCCTTGGACGGATATTAGCTTGATCCTCGTTTTATCTGCCTGTCAATGGGCTTTTATGCAGCCCTCATCTTTCATCTGAGTGCAGACAAGTGCAGGGTTTTCTTCATGTTTTTTAATTGCATGTGACTCTGCAGGTAGCATACTGATGGCCTCTGTCTGTTAAATAGTTTAACTTTCTCTTTCAGTAAACCCGGTAGATGCACACATCTGATAGTTCTAGGAACTGGAGGCCACAGCTGGTTAGCGTAAATGAGAAGAGACATGTTACCGGTTCCTGTTCAATGACAAAAATCATTTCAAATGAGTCAACACACATCAGTGTTGTTAAGCACTTTGGTCCTAACATGTTGATACATTTAGTTTTTTATCAGTATGAAAGATCCGCATTGTATAGTATGGAGTATAGTAGAGCGCTCTGACGCTCATGAAAAGCAACAATGATCCAAAGTGAGATAATTTGTTAAAATACATTAAGGATGATGCAGTTAGTGTAGAATTAAAAATGGGGCTTGTAGCTTTTATTTAATGTTTCCAAGGTGACCTGGGAAACATTTTACGCCTGTGTTTAAGCCCCACTGAGCCCGTAGTGGGCCACACAACTACCTGCTGGACAGGTAGCAAATAAAAACTGAACATGATTGGGGGAAAAAACGACTCTCTCTGTGGAATTACAGAGCAGCATCAATGATCTGCTTCTTTACTGCCTCTTTTGTCTCATGTTTAAGTGCTTGATTGTTAACTCGCTGTCCGTGCTGAGGATTTGACTTCATGTCCAGGCAGTTTATTATAGTGTGTCTTCTAAGAGGCTTACAGGGCCAGCCAATTAGTTGCTTCATGTCTTTTGTTTATGGCTTTGGTGTAATCCTTACAAAGAAACAGAGAGGAATGGGCTTCTTTCTTCCTCTGTAGCTTTAGGTGTCATTTGACCACTAGGGAGCACTGCACCTATGACTAAATGAGACCCGTCTCTTACACAACAATAACAACTAAAAGTGTGGGGTTTTTTTTCTTTTTCCTTTTTTTTTAATATTCTCCCTACTATGCAAAATTGACATATTTTTCTCAGCGGGTCATTGCCATACAGAGATAATGTGATGAGCGTGGGCTCTCACACTCTGACATTTTCCCCACGGCATTTATAATTGACTGCAGAAACAAATAAGTTGTCAGAGATTGTAATTGGTTATTCAGTGAAACCAGTCAGCAGCAGCTTTAATGTGGAGGGGGGAAAAGAAGAACTAACGGTTGGAGGGAGCGACCGGGCGGAACCACAAACCTCTCTCTGTAAGGGACAATCAGTAGACGCGAGTCAGGAAAATGAACTCCTTCCCCGATGATGATAGGCCTGTCCATGAGATGAGTGTGTCCATCAGGTGAACCCTGCGTAGCCTTAAATCTTAACAATAAAATGCACTAGAGTAGAAACTAGCATCTTCTCAGGAGAGAGGAGAGCTTTTATACCTCGGCTTTGAAACGAAGGAAATGTTTGTACTATAAAAATAAAGTGGTACATAACTGTTTTATTCTCAACATTGTAAAAAAAAAAAAAAAAAAAGGGCAAATGTGTAAATATGATTTCTGTATAAAACAAATCAAATGTAAAAAAAATGAATTGTTCCATTTGTGATTTAATGCAACATTTTGTAAGAATGTTTTATTTATGTTTTATTCTCACCGTTTGGGTGATAAACAATGTAAAGTCACATTTCACTCATAATAAAAAAAATAATAATGAACATTTTAAATGGTGGCTGTGTCATCATTTGTCTCAATAATCTACTAATACTTGATAGATTGTAATCAAAATGTTATTACGTTACAATGGTAAATGGTCTGATTTAAATAGAGCTTTTCTAGTCTTGATGGCCTCAAAGTGCTTCACAGTACAGTTTATTGTCATTCACCCATTCACACACACTTTCATACATGGGAGGCACTTTTTCCAGGAGGGGCAATTCAATGTTTAGTACTTGGCCAAGAACACTTGGGCATGCAGATGGGGAAGACTAGGATCGAACTGCCGACCTTCTGGGTAGATGACAGCCCCCTCAGCCTCAGCTGCCATTACAATGAGTGCACAATGTTCAGTGCTTCTCATATTCACTTTGTGACATATTACTTACATGCATTATATATGTATAATCTGCTGGTATAAACCTTTGGAGGTTGATTGGGCACCCCCAACTGGGAGGAGACCTCAGGGTAAACCCAGGACTCGCTGGAGGGATTACATATCCCATCAGGCCTGGGAACGCCTCAGGGATCCCCCAGGAAAGAGCTGGAAAGTGTAGCCAGGGAGATGGACGTCTGGGATACCCTATAGCCCGCTACATCAACAACCTGAGCCCAGGATAAGTGGAGGAAGATGAATGAATGGTACTGAGTTTGATTATTCTAATCCCATCAGCCTTCAGTTTCCCTGAGAAAGACGATCAGTGGTTGAAACACTGACATGTGAGATATGTCATGTCTTTATCAAATGCAGTCAATGACTGAAAATACAAGATACTCAGTACTGTATTTGTTCTAGAGTCCATTATTGTTGCCCGGCCTTTACAAAGTGCGTATGGTTGTTTTTTACACATGATTTCTCAATGTCAACTTTATGGTCAGTTTCTTTCCACATGTACAGGACATAGAGGGGATGTCGAACCCACATGATCAGTGAGTAATCTGCTGTATTCCTCTCCTGGAATACTTCATGTCTTCATGCGGTGATGGTCATTAAACACAAACTACAGAGCCTGTAAAGAGCATCCCCTCCCTCTGGTTCCAGCTCATTTGCTTTTAATGTCTTGTGTGATAGTAACCTGATTATCTTCTCTATATCATTATCTTTATCCTTTAGAATTTACAGATGGGCACTTTTTAAACTTTTCCCAAATCTAATGAACCAAAAAATCAAGAATTATTGTCGTGATCATTTTCGATTAAAGAAGATTTATTGCAACTTTTTTAAAACTGAAATGACCCGTTAATTTCAATTAGTAAACATATTTTCACAACATTAATTCCATATAAAATACAAAATGTATGTTTGTGTTGTGATACCTTAACAGAGCATTACGGAGGTAGAGACTTCACCATTTTCCACATCTGGTCATTCCCATTTTTTACAAAATGATGAATAAGCCACATGAGCCACATTTCTTTGCATGTTTTGAGATCTGGACTAAGACTACAGGAAGTCCAACACATCATCACTCATCAACTCGAATAATCACAGTTTTAAAACTGTGTGACAAACCTGGGGTCTGGGGACTTGGGGCAGTTGCGCGAATCTTCAATTAGTGCTGTTATTCTAATTGGTAGTCTACATACGTGTTTTCTGACGTGTTTTTGTTGCCTTATTAAAAAAAACTCTTCTCATAAATCCACTGTTTGTGTTTCAGAACCAATTAAATTGTAATCATTCAATTGTGCTAATGGTTTGATGTCCTGTTCCCATTAGAGGCCGGGCTGCTGTCGGAGCACCGCTGCCAGAGGAGAATGCAGACAGCAGTCTTGATGGATTGACAGCAGTGCGGGCACACAGCAGCATTCGTACCTACTGGTAGATAAAGAAGCAGCTGCACTAATCTCTACGCTCTTCTCAGCCGACAGTGCTCTGCCTGCTCACCCCGCAATGTTTTACCTCTGGAAATCTCCTCTGTTGAGTTTTCACCCCCCCCCCCCCTTAACTGTAGGATCTTGTACATCACGCCAAATTCATCACTATCCCATCACTCCACACTGCTGTCCAGCTCCAACTTATCATTTGAACCGTGGGATTTCTTTTCAGCCCTTTCAAAGTATTTCTCCATCGTGCTCATTCACCATAAAAAAAAACCCCAGAGACGAAACGTGATAAGACCAAACAAGGAAACAGCAGCTTGATAGGGAGCAGAGTAAACTGTAAAAGTTCCCTTATCTGCTTTTAGATTATTCCCACAAATAGAAGTTGTGTAGTCATAAGTTTATGAGATTCAAAGACAGCAAACTAGATATTCTCATCTGCTCCTGGTTGTCATGGTGATCCTGAGACACACAGGGCAAGCTGATGTTGCAAACAGACAAACAGAGAGTGAGACTGAGAGAATCACATCACGAGTTTCTGCCTGTAATTATTGCAAATTAAAAACCAACACAACATGTCCGAGAAGAATAAAAGACTGTAAGTGCTTCCTCTACTGATTAGTCTGTAATGCTCCAGTCAATAATGATTAACATTTGCAGATTCATATTACACTCAGATTTATTAATTGCCTGCCGTAAGATAAGATTTGATTTTGTTGATCTAATTATTGTTGAATCACAATTGACTAAATCTTTCCAGTTCAGAGCTGGAGAACAGCTCTGAATTAAATGAGGCTGGAAATAGAAACAGGGACTGACACAGTGTTAAAGCTTCAAATCTGCAGTCACAGGGGTCAGAGGTTAGCAGGTCAACAATCTGATGAGAAATACATTTATTAGTCCCACATATCCACTGTACACAAAGACGACATGTATAAATACGTAAACATTGACACACTCGCCCATTATGTTAAAAACAGTTTCTTCTAATCACTGTTGTAAATATTGTTATGTTGCTGATGTTCTCAGTAACACGCAGCATCTGTTGCACTTCTGTCCGTCCTGGGAGAGGGATCCCTCACGTGTGGCTCTCTGTGAGGTTTCTATGTTTCCCCTGTTTATAGTTCTTTGGTAGTTTTTCCTGACTCTTGTTGAGGGTTGAGGACACAGGATGTTGTACCTTGTTAAGGCCTGAGACAAATTGTGATGAGTGAATATGGGCTATACAAATAGTGAAGGCTATGAGGTGCATCACCAGTTTAGATCACTATTCTACTAAAGGCAATAAATACATTCCATCAATAGCAAAGTAGCATAAGATAAGCTGATGTATGTTGATATATTCCATAAGCATTTTGCACAGTGAGGAGGTATAACGCAGTATTCATCTATCTCAGATTTGTCCAATGTTTTGCTCTTCAAGTATTTGTCATTCTCTGCTCTTAGAGTTTAAAACCTTCACTCAGGAACAACAATCATACAAGGAATAATAATATTAATAATAATAATAATAATACTGTGATATTGATATTGAGATAGATATCAACCTATACAGCTCTTTCTATACACACAGAAACACTGTTGGAGTCACGCTGCCTGTTGGAGTGACTGTCTGCATGGGCTCTGGGTGTGTTTCCTGTTTTACTTTGAAATGACTGTCCTCCTCTGTCTGTTGTGACTTTGCTTCCTGTCTGCGCTGTGTTTCCCGCCAGTTTTCTGTCGCACCTGTTGGTCATGGTGTCATCACTTCCTCTGTGAGTTGCACACCTGACCCAACATGTCCTCCTGCACAGGAGGTTGTGTGTTCATGCCCGGGTTTGCCACAGGTCGAGAAAGAACTCTTGCTCAGGTGAGACTAGAAATGCTTTCAATGGCCGGTGTTATCTGGCAACTTGTGGCTAGCAGAAAGTAGTTGTTAATAAAACACCAACTCACTTGCAGCACCTTTAACATTAATGCTAACATGCTAAGTGTTGCCTTTTTTAGCAGGTAAGGAGCAGCACTAGCATGTTTCATGGCCAGGCTCTCCATCAACACCCTTTTGGTGGATGGCTCAAACTAAAAACTAGGAAAGTAAACGTTAAGTACATTTTCTTAAAGATGGTTTCTGTCATTTTAAGTAGTCCTTGGCACATTATTAGTCAAAGTGCAAATGTGTCCAGTAAGTTTGGTTTTAATTGCTTATTTGTGATGAAAACAGGGTGAAACTCAGTAACTTTATTTGTGCAGCACTTATCTAAACAAGATAACAAAGTGCTTCACAAATAAATCCATGGCAAAAAGAAGAATGTCTGACAGTGAAGTTGTAGGCACAAACCAAATTGACTGAAAGAAACTGAATTGTCAGTCAAAACAATGTTAAAGGAGAAAAGATGCTGGTTGTGCAGAATGACCCTTTGTGATATTGTTCTTTACACTTTCTTTCTATTGGGTCATTATATTTGTTGCAGCAAATAGTTCCACTGTGATCAGTAGATTTGAAATGGGTCGGTGTCACTGCTGTAGAGCTTGACTGGTTTCACTCATACTGGCTTGTTCAGGTGATATTGTATTTTACCCACTGTTGGCTTTGCATGTAGGGTAATTTGTAACTGCAGCTAAATTGTATTATCTGTTTTTCTAATGCTGTAATGGTAAATTGATGCATGGTCTGAAGTGGGGTTTGACAATTTGGATGTAAACTCAAACACAAAATGGATGCCTGTGGTGTATGACCTCTAGCGCCCCCTGTTGCTGAGTGGCTGGAATAGTTATTTGTGTCAGTCTGGTCAGGCCCAACTTGTTTTTCTTTTCCGCTGCCCACTTTATTTTCATCTGCTTTGGGAAGGACAGATAATCAGGCTCACTTTCTGAAGCAGCCTATGATAAGTTGTTGTTCTTGGTGAAATTTTGTCTCTTTGTCCTCATCTGAGGTCAAAAAGCAAAACCTGACCATTATTTTCATGGTCTGCAATAGGTGCTCTGTGCTGTGACTATACTGCCATATCCCCGTTAGGGACTTTCATATTAAAGGCAAGGCAAGTTTTAATTATGTAGCGGTGTATACAGAGGCAATTCTGTTCTTCTATAAAAAAAAAAACTGAAATACGAGAAGAATAAAAAGTATAAATGCATTTAAAAGAACAGAAACAATAAAATGCACATAAAATACATAATAAAAAACACACTGTTGGTCTTGGGACATGACAGTTGAATCAATTTCAATTTCTTTTTACTATGGTGATTCTATCAATATAGTACTGGCTTAGGTCTGTGGGCACATTTTCTGAGGACTTCTAGTAGACCATCTCAATGTCCCAGATAAAAGTATAAGCAAGTTTTCAATACAAATCCTTGTTTTGAAGTTTAGAACTTTTACCTGCTAAAAGGTTTCATGTGCAGACATGACTGTAGGAGCCTCTTCATGACCCTGAGTAAGAGCCGAGCATGAATAATGAATAACAGCAGAATAGGCTTCTTCACTTCGCTGCTTCCTCTTAAGAATCCTAAGATGAAGTCAAAGAGGGTTAGATGAGCATCAGCAGCAGGGCCTGTATATAGTATCTGTGGCACAGCTGCAATGAACTAGAGTACACTAGTCTTCCACTGGATATTTACAGAATGCTGAGCAGATATTATTCCAGTTGTCCTGGAGGTTTGGGGGAAATCATGTCTGTGAGATGTGTCTGTGCCACAGTGGGGAGAGTGGTTATGGCTGCAGCGAGGATGGAGGGCGGGGAGAGACGATGCCAGGTCCTCCATCTTGCTCAGAGATGTGAGGATGATTTAGGAGGCCTGTCTTTGCCACAGTGTCGAGAGGGAGCGGGGTCGAGCAATCCTATTACTCCTCAGTGACCCTGCCCTAATGCATGTACACACATACACACACTTACTTTTCAAGTGGCTCACACAGCAGCAAGTCAACACGTCCCTACCGCACCTGAAGACCACACAAAAAGCAGCAGGTGAAGTACTTGCACAAACCTGAATACAAGGTTTCCCTACACAAAATATACACACTGGATATAAATTCACTATTGATGATCATTATGTCGATACTTTGTGAAACTGTCAGTCATGCGTTTTAGTGAAAGCACTGTGTATACTGTGTAAAGGTTGTCTGATGGAAATACAACATTTGATAAATTCAATGAAATTTGGTACAGATGCTGAGTAGATGCATTGACTTTGGTGATCACATAACCCTTTCTGTAACACCATCATGAGGTTGACATTTGTTGCTTTGAGTGAAATATCAACTGTTGAATGAATTGCCATTACATATATTAAGATATTCATGTGTGTCCCTCTGGTTGAATTGGGGATCACCACCTTTTGATCTAAGACCGGCACCATGTCAAATGTGTCCAGGCCTTTGGTTTATGACCTCTAAATGACATGACATTCTTTTCAGCCTCAGCTGTATTAGTGCTAATCAGCAAATGTTGTCATGTTAATTAATCTAGCAGCAGTTAATGTGTCCGATGTTACATGTTCACTAACATACCGTTTACCTAACTTTCCCACCAGCCCCATTGTTTGTTTAATTTTTTTTTACAGACATAGAAACAATTTTTTTAGTGTTTCAGTGTTAGTGTCCACGTTAATCAAATTTAAAAAGATCTGATTTGTAAAATACTACTTATTGAGTACTTAACGTCAAAGGACAGTGAAAATGTTATGGTTGTTTAAGAGACTTGTGTTTTAAGAGAGCATGGGAGTGAGCAGAGGTAAACACACAGCTTTACAATGAAGCAATAGCAGCAAACACCAAGTTATAGATATTGTGTTATGAGAAGTGAGCCCCCACAGTTTATTGTTAATGGGAAACACACAGCTTAAGTGCAGCAGAAGAGCGAGGTTGCTTGCAGCAAAATCTGATGTTATAGATCTCAGTGAGCACTCCACAGACACTGAGCAGACACACGTCTTCTTGTAAAAGGTCCTGTGTTATGAGAAACAATGGCACTGGAAAAATGCTCACATCGTAGTATCCCTAATTCTAATAAATGTAAAACCTTTAACTTAGAAATTAGCCTTACCAAAGTGAAGAAGTAAACATGCAGATGTTAGCATGCAGCTCAAAGCACCGCTATGTTTTAGTACAACCTCTGAAATACTATTATTAGTGCTGGAACAAACTATTACCTTTTGAGTTTTCATGACAACTGAAGTTCACCACAGGTTCTCTTTCAGGTTGGAAGGGTGAGATGAGGAGTATTCAGCTGCAACATGTTCACCTCTAGATGTCACTAAATTCTACACACTGAACCTTTAAACTGAAATGACCAAGAATATGATTTGTATTTCAGAAGTGAATATAAAGCCACAACAAATCTTCACGATGGTACTCAGTAGAGCACATCAGCCTCAGCCAAGGCCCACAGGTCCCCATTATGGAACCACATTTAAATTCCCTTGATCTGGATTTTCTTCCACTAACCTACAAGATATCACATGGCATAATGTCTCAAAATATCAGACTCTCTGGAGGACAGTGTAACATAGACGGTATGAGTCTTGTTGATTTAAAATACAGGGTGTTTTCTGGTTTCTGTGATGTTAATAGTCTTCTGCACTACATTTGTTATCACTTTAAACAACAACTACCTAAACATAGCTGGGGAACTATCAATCTGTCATTCCAGTCATGCATTAAAGCTTTCCACAATTATAGGATATGGCTTATCAAATCAGTTTCTTTACTTTTTATTGTTAGTGAATTGGATCACTGTTTACCTCAAGATACCAAGGCAGGATTAAACGGATATGAATATATGAGGCTTTTTCAAAAAGGATGAAGGCAACAGGTGCAGGTGAAGCTGGGGGAGATGGAGGAAGAGTCACCTCCTGTTGCTGTAGCAGCAGATGAGTCAGGACTCAGGCTGGTGAAGAGGAGGCCTCTTCTGCTCGCTAGTTAGTGGTTCCCAAACGTTTTTGTCACAAGGGACAACACTTATGAAAACACAGTTCGGAGGCTCACATTTACATATGATTATAGCTTTGTGAATTACCATAAATAAAACTAATTCTAAGGAGCACCAGTGTGTGATGGAAGAGACCAACTATGATGCAACACACAGAGAGAGAGAGAGAGAACTTGAAAGAGCAACAAGATCTCAAAGATGAAGGGATTAGGGTATATGATATGGTAGATGGATATTATCAGAACAAAGAATCCACTGATTACACTGCAGTGAGTAAGAAACAGCAATATAATGCTGATTGATGTACATCTGTTCGGTACTGGCCTGTAGCTACTTTCATTTGGGCTGCTTGTGAGTCCATATGAAATGTCTATTTAGCTCTATGGGATGGAATAGTGCATTAATGAAATGTTCAAATAACAGTATATGTTTCATATACATCTATACATAAGATGTTTATAAATAAAATCAAATAAGAATAGATTTTATATTGGTTGTACTACACTGATTGCATCTTTCTATCATCAGGGGAGAACAGGAGGAGAGAGAGCGGAGGGGATGAAGAGTGCGACAGGCAGATGATGAGGCACCAAAAGAGCTACTGAAGAGGTGAAGTGTCAGACAGACAGATGGTGAGTTAAATGTCCCAGTGCTGTACCGACGTGATTATTCTGGGGGGGTCGTGACTCGAAAAGGTTGAGACTCACTGAACTAGAGCACTGTCACAGACACATGGGGACCATCCCCACCCATTTAGCAGACACACACTCACAAAGCACAGTAGTAAACACACAACCTCAGAGCCACTCATCTAATCCTATAGATGTACAGAGACATGCATGTTGAGGTTGTCTGGGGATCTCATATTTGCCACTTGGTGTAGCGTGTTGCCCTGGTAACAGTTAGCCTGTCTCATTTAAAGAAGCTCTTGATGACCTTAGAGCTGCTTATCGAGCTGTGATCAACACGTTTGCTTGTGTTACATCAACTCCCCACAGATTTCATCAGACAGAGAAGTCAGGGATGAAAAATATAACCTTTGTTCTTTTTACTGTGCATGGAGCTGGGCGATATGACTTCAAATAAATATCCTGATTATTTCAAACTTTTACCTTGAATAATGAAGAATTATTTTGAGCTGTCTCTCGTTGCGCATAACAGGGGAGTGAGGAGGGACGATATGCAGCATGGTCATGAGGCCCTGTACAAAGTACCAGGGCCGCCACATCAACATGAATGTAGCAGAAACCAGACAGTTAGTGAATGCTCTCATTTGGGAAAGTATTAACGGAAACAAGCCAGATTGGGTCTGCTGGAGCTTATAAATATATATTTCGATCATACATTTTTGGTTAATTACCCAGCCCCAACTGTATATGCATTTGTTTTTCCTTATTAAATTAAGATAAATTCAGTAATAATGAATCCTTTAAGATATTGAACACCCGATTTATTCATGTCAACTGAAAACTGTATTGCACTGATATATTTTTACTTTGAAAACAGAGTAAATTATTGTATGAATTTTCTATCCTGAATTTCAAGATGTGTAAATTCTTAATACACATTCATACGTGTGTGTGTGTGGGTATATATATATATATATATATGTGTGTGTGTGTGTGTGTGTGTGTGTGTGTGTGTGTGTTTATTGTTCACAGATTGAGTCAGTGACCAACATAAAAACCTTACATGTAAACTGTTCAAAGTCAATAAGCCCTCTCAAATTAGTTGGGCAAAATTCAGACACTAAAATTCACGACATGGAATTTAAAGCTGAACATCTGGGATAGCAAGGTAAGCTGTTCTTGAAGTACACAGTAGTGACTAAATTTTACAATGAGGTCTTCAGTGACTTATAAGATTCAAATCTGTATGGCCATTATTTGCCTCTTTACAATTCCACTGTGCTCCATGTTATCCTCCATGACTAGGAGCCTGCCCTTTGCAGTCATCCACCATGAAATGACACCAGAGCAACTAGTGGTTACATCATGGCTTCCTCTGGTTACTTTTTATCTTTTTTTTTTTTTTTTTCTCCACCCAACAAAAAGACAAACTGTCTAATAACAGTTTTTAAAAAAACTTTTTTTTTAAAGTTAGAACTGACAGAAGCACAGAGGCTTCCACCCCCAGGAAATGATTGTGCAGATCTGATTGACAAGATGGGGGGTAAATGTCAGCAAGCCTTTCAAAGGGCAGCGATGAGTCTTCTTCCTTAGATCTTCATCATCTCCACAATTATTTCCAACTTTGTCTACCCTTTAACAACAGGAATATGGTAATAATTATCAGGGCTCGATACGAAAGTTGTCATGAGGACGGCAGAAAATATGTTTGGGACGGACAGAGATGTTCTCCTCGAGGTCTCTGGGTCGAAGAGGATTTTTGTATGCTTGTACAATAATCATTTAGTAAGTCACGCACTGACAACAATGGAGCGTGTCTTGCTGTAACAAATATCACTGGCTGACTTTTTGGCACAAGACCTATGAAGATTTAGACATTTTCCCGGGCTTCTGGTCCATCTACTAGCCCCAGTCACAGACACAAGCCAAGACCAAAGAGGGCACTGCATCACATTCAGTGAGCCAGAGTACGCCCACAAACCTGAGTCTGAGGTAAGGACAATATAAATTGAGAAATGTCTTTCAAAAAAATGGATAAAGCTTTTTATGGTCTTTTTGCTGTGACTTTTTCTATATGGCTAGCAATAATAGAATGCTATAATGATTCATGTGAAATATTTCCACTTGATTGACTGAATCAAACTGATTTATTTTCCACTTCTTTACAGAAGGAGGGCTGTGGCTATGAAACCAAATGTAAAAGAACTTCTGGGATGGGAAAAGTTATATTTATCCCTAGAATAACTGCATAACTTACAGAATGAACTGCAAAACATGCGGGAGCTGTCCTGCTCAGACGCCAAGGAACAGCCTGTTTCACAGGGTCAATGAAGAGAAGGCGAGAGTGAGGACCATCAAAGACCATTCAGTCACAGCTGCACACAGATCAACTGAAGATGCGGTATAAGCAGGAGCTCCCCCAGAAAGATCAGTGCTAATGGCAGCTATTGACAGAATGGATCCAGCAATAAAAGATGGTGAAACTCTTCAACTTAGCCTACTTCATTACTATAGAGGAAGCTGTCCATCACACAAATGGCCTGGACTTCAGCATGACATATGGCAATGACCAAGCAGGCCACATGTTCATCACAGCCATTGGTTCGTGCTTTATTGAGGAGCTTCAGGAAAAGCTGTCTTCAGCCGGGGTCTTTTCTATCTGGTCTGACTTTTCAGTTGAATCAGTGAAGGACTAAGAGATAATCTACAGCACCTTCCTCATTAATGGCAAACCAATGAACCAACTCTTTCTCTGGACAATGCCCATAGCTAGGGCATTTTGGATGCCATTCTGGCTGGGCTGTTGAAGGTTGATATATAGTAAAATACAGTTTTATAAATTAACATTTCATTAGTCATTAAACATATACATTTATATTTCAAAATTACATAATTTCATTTTATATTGTGACAGCTCATGTCATGTTTATAGACACACCCTGGCCCAAGGCTACACCAGTTCATGGATGAGGATGAGGTTGGGGCTGGAAAGGACCTGGCAGGGTGTCCAGATCAGTAGGTCCAATGCTGATGATGACTGGAGACCGGTGTTTTGGTGGCAACTTCCACACTTTTTGACCTGTCCAACTGGCCAGAAGACACCACTGATCAAGTCAGAATGGAGGCCCTGCCTGTCAATGTGATGCTCAACTGCCTCCTGTAAATCTCTTTTCATGGCCCTCCTGCACAGGACTATGACCCTGTGAAAGCAGTGACCTAGTGGTGGAGAAGTGGCTTCAGAGCACGAAGACCTCAGTACAAAGACTAGGACATAGATTTGTTTGTACGTTTTTTGTCTAATTTATTATATCTCAGTTAAGTTGATGACAACTGATGTTTTGTCAGTTTGTCTGTCATAATCAGTGTAAAACATATTTCTTGAATGGCGCAATAAGATTTTTTCTCAACATTTTAATTGTGTTTTTATTATGCCACTAACAAAGTCAAGAAACATCCTTGATTTTAATTCACTTTGAAACAGTTAAAATGTTTTGCAGAGCAGGTTCAGAGATGGTACAAAAAAAAAAAGTTTGTCTGGAGCCCTGATTAGCCCCTGTTATTATAAACTAGGGGTTCTTCAAACTGAGAAACTATCATGCAGCAACTAATAAATGTGTTACTTGTAATGTTTTATTTTTGGCCCCTGGGAAAGAAAGCATACACTGGCCAAGTGTCCTGTTAAGGCAATGAGCTTTTTAAGTAAATCATCAGGATAACACAGACATAGCCTCCAACATAATAGTTTCCCTATGACAGTGTGCCTGGGATTCATTGATCTCAAAGTACTTTAGATTTACATGTCCAACTTTTTGGTGCAAGATACAAAACTCATCGTCACTGTCTTTTCACCAGAAATGCTATAGATGCAGTGCAGTCTACTTAAAGCCAACATGTATCTCTACTATATGAGTGTAGACTATTCATAGATGACTTTGAAATAAGATTTTTTAAATCTTTATTTACCTTTTATAGTAATAATATTATGCAGAATCTGTAGGTGAGGGACATGACTCTGGGGCTAAAAGCTTCTCATTTCTCTTTCTGGTTTGACCAATCGTGTTTGAGCAGGCTTTGGCTGCCTCCAGGGAAACAGTCTGTGTGGAGAGCAAAAGAGATGGAACATAGTCACTGAAATGCATCAGCTATCAGCCTTTCAATTCATCTGCTTTCGTATGCAGAGTTAGTTACTTTATGATTCTTCTCTCAATTTGTGCTACTTTTCACTTTGCATTTATCATTTGTATTAGCAAACTATTACTGTCACAAGAATAGTTTTGGCACTGACTGATTGTTGGGGATGAGCAAATTTGTTACTGCATCATAATCAGATTTGAATATTTAACAAAACATTGTGTAATGTAAAATAGGACAAATATAGTACACTGTGGAAATACTACTGTATGCCATTAAGACAGTTAATGTAAAAGACCACCATAGTAATAATCATGGGTGATACATACTCAAGTGATGCCAGATGCCATTGGTATTTTACAATGCAATAGCTGTATGGAAATGTATGTCTGTGACTGCCAAGACAAACTAGTCCCATGCGCTAACAAGTGTTTAGCCTTCCCAGACCTGTTTCCCCTCAGTAATTAGTGTGATCACTTTTTACGTTCACCACCTAATACAACATTGCAGCCAGGACTTGCGGCCCCAAGTGCCAGAGCAGGTCTTAGAAGTTCTCTCATTTTGCCATTAAATGGAGCTAACAAGGTCCCCTGGGATCAAGCTGGCACAGCAATTGATGTCAGTTTAGAATAGTTAAGGAGCACTGATAAGGCTTGTAAGAATTTCCCAGTGGCCCAGTGCACTTGTTTATCCACACTGGAGTTGATAGGCGCGGTACTGGACTCCATAGAGCCACAAGCTTTCTCTTCCACTCTTAAAAGAAAATGGCTTTTAATGAACTTGTGTCCTAAAATCGTTACAGCTTCATCTGCAAATAGATTATCTTTGAAGCCTGCAAGTTATTCTGCAAGCAGATATATCCTTGGTGCAGGTTGTTGTCTTGGCAGACAGTACACATTCTGACTGTTTGCATTAACTTTGCAGTTTTGACTGGTCACCTTAGTATATTATAGAAATTTAAAGGGATGTGAGTGAAAGTATGTTTTTCCTTGTCTAGTTGAGCTTGTCGCATGCACGACATTTGCATGTGATTATGCTTACCTCAGACTTTTGATCTGATCGTGTTCCTTGAAGCTGCAATCCTCTGGGCACATGCAGGCGTGAACTTCCATTTGTTATATTCTTCCCTGAGCTCATTGCCAGGGAAATGGGTCAGCGGCAAAGTTTAATTGAGTTCACTGCATATAAGGTGGTTCTGCCTGGCGGGAGATGGGTATATAGAATGAAATGTTAAAAAAAAAAAAAAAAAAAGGCCTTTTGAAATTTCCTGGCCCACTGTCTGCCAAAGTTAAATATTCAAGTAATCCTGGTCTTGAGAAAACACACAGTAGGTTGTGGGCGTTAACTGTGCAATGAGTGCAGATGCACAAGACCCCCATTGTGTGACTGGTTTTAAACTGGAAGTTATTTAACTATTAATTTCATTAGTTGTTACAACATTTCTTTCTCATAATTGAACTGGAAAGGTTTGGGTCAGTTTTGTCAAGTGTGCAGTCAGACTGCCAGTTAGTGGCTGTAGCTGAATAATGTAAGTATATCAATCATTTATGTATTATTTAAGCTTCTTAACATTTTTCCCAGCTCACCCCTTTTACTGTATATGTATAACTTTGCTACCTTGTTCAACTGTTAATCAGTTAGCTGCTAGCCATAGGTGGTGTTAGCACGAGTTAAAGGAGACTAAGCTTCGCTGAAATTATTATGTAAATATTATAGTGAAGCTTTTCATGATTAACAAGGTGTGCTGTTTGTTATTAAGATGCAAAAGCTAAAAGGCTGCAATGAGTAGCGTAGTGAGTTTTTCATACCTGCACCCGCCCAGTATGATGATTCAATTTGCACCACCCGCTCAACAGTACTATATACAGGCTGCTTCTTCAAGTCATTGAATCTATGCAGCAGGACATGTTAATTATATTTAATCAATTAATCTGGCCACTCCATTTCTGCTCCCTAATCCTGTGCATCATGAATTCTATTTTTATTCTTGAAATGTCTTAAAATGTTAAAATTGCTGCATAACATATTGAATAATGTTTATAATGTGACAATTGACAACATGAGCATAGTTAAGACTGAAAAAGTATGAGTTTTTAATGGGATCATGTTAACAGCCTTACTTATTAAATTGTTAAAAACAGCAATGTGAAGAGTTTAGTTTCTTCAAGCATAATTTTCTGGTGCCAATGCCGTTAGCTTTTTGTCCTTCACTTTTTTATGGGGTTTTCTGTTTGCTTAGCAAACTGTTTCAATAATTTATCCAATTAATTTTTTGCTTTTTAACAATTGTATTCTAAAATCTGTAGCTAACTTATTGTGTATGCAATTGCTTATTAACCTTACACATTTCCCCCCAATAATTTAAGCCAACTGTGCTGCATATCTATAATATTGTTGAAAGTACTGGAGGAACAGTTAAATAAATCAATGTATTTCAACTGTTCATAGATTACTTTTAGCTGTTTAGACTTAATAAGCTGTATAGACTTAAGACTCAATCATGGCACATAGTCTTCAGGTGTTTCAGCTGACTCAATATGTCGATATATTTTTCTAATAATACACTAATTTCTAGTTTGTCAAATTAGTTGAGCTACTCCACAATCCTAAGTACCCCATGGCTACTGCTGAAGTACCCCTCAGGTACAAGTACCTCTGATTAGGAATCACTGCTGTAAAGATTAGTAAAGCACATTTGTAAGTAGTGCAACTGGTGCAAATCCCAGACAACTCAAATAAAGATTTTTTCAGTTTAAGAACTAAACACCCTTTTCCTAAGCAAGGTACATGAACACCTATTTCTGAAGTGAGGCTGCTCTTTGTCTGACAGGTGCAGCCTGTGGACAGGTACCAGCTTGTTGTGAGGAAGTGTGTGAGCATAATGCAGTGTGATGCTGACAAACAGCATGCAGCTCAGCTGACCCTCCCTGAATAATTACAGTCTGCTCTGAATAGGAATGCGAGAGCAAGGCTACTGCAGTGGCTTATGTGTCTCTGTGTCGCCTCAACTCTAAGTGCGCCATCTGTTTCTGCATTGAATCTGGCTGCACTGTGAACTTGAGTCTGAATAAACTTGTGTGATTCTGCTCCCATTCAGCAGGTCATGCTGCTGCTGCTGTGTGCAGACACCTTTTTTCAGCCTCTGGTATGTTACACTAGTGCAACTATTAAACACATACAAAGCACCATGAGTGGCATGGGAATTTAAAATGGCACAGTTAGTACCAAACAACTATATGGTTCAGTTTTGATATCGTAAAAATGTTGCCAGAAAAATATTGTTCTGTAATTGTATCACCATAATGTAACTATAGTCTATATGGAATATTTAGGATATGGCTTAATGGCGCATATAGTCTCCTTTCTTCTGTATTCAAATTGTTGAATATTTTTTGACAAATCGATGAATAGTAAAAAATGAGGACGGGCTATATATTTTGACAGTGATTGTGATAGCTTCTGATTGTATGTGAATAGAACATCAGGTGAAGGGCAGTCGACCTCTCGTCTATGGTCGGTAGTTTTCCTGTGTAATCTCTGTTGAACAAAAATTGCATGACTACTTGTTAAATTAAATATTGAATTACTGATGGCCATTATCAAAAACAAACTTAAAGATGGGGCTGGCAGTGTGGACAGCAGTCTGAGCCTCAGCAGTTCAGTGAATTGACCTTCATGCACATGATCCGGCAGACCTTGATGACAAGGGTGTAAACAGCTGTTATATTAGTTTGTTTAACAGCAATAAATCAACCAACTGAATTACCCTGTTACAGCATGATCAGCTGCACTTTTTATACATGTAGCTAGCTATATATGAGGAAAGTGTGAGCAGCAGATGAAGAATGCTGTTCTTTTGCTAATCCATACTATTACCTTTTTGTCTCCATAGCAGAGCTGATGTGTTTTTTTAAACAAAAAGATATAGCCTTAGTTCCCTGCATAATGAATGTTAGTGAATTGGAAGTTAATGTGAAAAGCACAGGGATGGAAAGCAATCCAACAACATATCCTGCCTTCTGTATAAGGGGGTACATGCAACTGACTGAATACGCCTCCTATCACCCCTCACTTTCAGGGCGTTCACGAGAACTCACAGTGGCCTTCAAGACTTTTGTTTTTGTTCTGTTCTACATTAGAAACATGACGCATCATGCTAGGTTCTGCGGAAGAGGACTCGCTCCTAAGCTTTGGTAACTAAATGCAACGATTCCTAGTTTGAGGTGATTGTACAAGATTGAAAACATAATTATGAAAATTCCATTGCTACCGATACATCCCCTTAGATTATACTCACTGGTCCTTTAAAATATTAATATTCATTGCTGCTCGTTATTGCCACTGAGACCCATTAAACTTCAATTACCTGTCATTTGAATTCCCATGGGGGCCCGTGTGGGTGTTTTTCAACAAAACGAAAATCATTTGCTAGTTGGATTACATTGAGAATAATCTTTGTTTTGTCACCAGGTGAAGTTAATTGCCGAGTTGTAAAGGAAATGGCAACAGATTACTGCAGAGACCTTCTGTTCCCCCCGCAGACTGCAGGGAAGTTGGATGGCGTCCATGTGAACCTGCTGACTGGAACGAGCATAGAGAGCAGAGGCAATGCTCCTCTTTCAGCCAGGGAGGAGGAGATAACTGATAGATGCTGGTAGCTTTGTTGGTTTCACAAGTGTGCTTGCACTGTTGTCAGAAAAAAGAAGTAGTTTAAAGAGCCAATGTGTAGCACAATGTGCAGAGCTGCTCTTTTTTTCTTCAGGCTCTGTACCATTTTTTTCTTCAAGTTATTTGGTTATTTTCAGAGTTATTGTAAAAACAAATTTTAAACCTGATTGATTAAAGATGATAAATAGATCAGTAGTTGTATGTATTTAAAAACTGACCACTTCATACACTTTTCAAACTGTTTATTCCATGTATGAGAATATAAAAAGTTGTACAACCCAGATGAATTCCAAGTTGGAAAATTAAAACTGCACAACCATTTGAAGTATTGCCAGCAAGGACAATAGAATGACATCTATTTCTGATTTATTTAAGGTCAAACAGCTCAGTAGAAGGATTGATCTGTAAAGCAAATGCTTTTATACATTTCTAATCTTTCTCCATGTAGGCTATATTCTTTTTAATGCAACAATATAATCAAATGCCAAACTTGTAAAGTGTGTTGTTAAAATTAAAGGTGTCCATTTAATTTTGACGACAGAAACAGGGTTACAGCTTCTGACAAACTTAACAATCAGTTGATAAATAATGAACCAACACAAGTTAAGTGCCTCGGGCAGGATGTGTGGCTAATGTGTATAAGGCACATAAATAACTATCATATTGTTCGATACATTGTGTACATTTGACTTTGAAGAATTCATAATGGTAGCGTTAGGCTTCTATCACAAGTGCAGTTAGAAATCATGAGGGAATGTGAGGAGCCAGCTAAACTCATTTTATGTTGTGTTGAATAATCAGGTCACTGTCATGGCTGAGAATCTCAATAATCATGCAAACAACAGGACACAATACAGGTCACAACATTGGTATCAACACAGATAAAATGATAACAATATACACCTGTTGGACAAACAAAAGCTGCAGGCTTCTTTATTCATACTTTTTACGCAAAACTTTGCAGCCAGATTTATCATTTAATTGACAGCTTAAAGGGATAGTTCACCCCCCAAAAAAATTCACTACTCACCACTATGCCGATGAAGGGCTGTGTGACGGTTTGAATCCACAACATTTTTTGGGAGTCTCAGGGGTAAACAGTGTTGCAGCCACATCCAATACAATTGAAGTATGTGGTGAAAGTTTCTTCAAATTTAACTGAACAGGAAAAAACAAAATGCCTCCATACTGCTCATGTGATCATCTTCTGGAGCCTCAGTCGCACGTGGAACACAGAGGACATTTAGAATAAAAACTTGGTGTTAATGACACAGTTTGAAGGGGGATTTGAATGTCGGGGTTTACGGTCACTTGGGTGACACAACAGGAGCAGTATGGAGGCATTTTCAGGTTTTTTTCACATTTGAAGTGTTTCACCAGTTACTTCAATTGTATTGGATTTGGCTGCCACACTGTTTACCCCTGTAACTCCAGAAGTATTTTGTGGACTCTAACACTTCAGCCACCCCTCCATCAACATAGTGGTGAGTAGATAATGAGTGAATATTCATTTTTTGGTTAAATATCCATAAAATGGAAAAATGAATTGTCACTGTACTTACTTTTCTTTCACTGTTTAAAATTGCAGAGTGCTGTGCCTTGACACAGGCAGGCCCATCCGTTTTTAACTTTTCCTGACATTTATAGAAAAATGTACTTTATTGTGATTGTCAATATCTGCATTTAGAGTACACTATAAATACACAGACAAACTGCCACAGCTGCATGTAGCACCTTTCAAGAAACACAACGCTATATAAATGGAATCAGAAGTGAGATTTAAAAAAAATTTAGTAAAATAGAAAAACATTTCTACATTAATTGACTAAGTTTTTTTTTGGAACCTAGATCGAGTATTCCATTATTTAATATTACTGTAAAAAATGCATTCTGTTTTTAAAAGCAGCTCAACCGTAAGTCAGACAGATATCCGCACAATTAACTGTTTTTTTAATTCACAGTAATGTTTGTGTTTCTAGCATTTCTATTAACCAGTATTCTCCCTCCAATTGGCTGCTATTGCAATGCACACTCTTAACACTTGGTAGCAGTCTGCAAGAGGCAAGGAGCAGATCTCTTGCCCGGGGTTGTTGGCCTGGGTCTGCCATGTTTGTCGAGATAGACTCAAGCATGAACACTGGGAACATATGCTCAGATCAGCCCATATGCCCATTCTGCTGCTGTTGTTTCCCAACAAACATCATTGCTTCAGCACAAGTAGTCTGTTTGTAGTAGTATTGATGTGGACAGTCACTGTGTTACAAACACAGAGGTTAAAGGAGGAATCACCTTAAATCATGATTAACATTGTACAGTAGTTAATGACCCACGACAGTGATGTTATGCTGCACAAGCAGTGCTTGAGATCACAGCATAACAACATTCATTTCACTGCTGGGCTCATGCTCTGTATTTGACTCTGAATTCCTAACCGATTTCTCAAGTTGTGGTTTGAGACAGCCAACACACCCATGTTTTATACAATAGTAGCTTCCAGCTGTGGATCCCAAAATGTCCAGATATCCCACTAAAACCTCATCACAGCTGCTCATTTACAGTTTCCTAACAGTTGTTCATTATTCAGTCTCGATGGATCCGCCTCAGCTTTTTTCTCTGCATGACCTGTAAACAAGGTCTTTTAGCTTTTCAGCTTAATGAATATATTATAAATCTGGTTTAATGCAGGATTGTATTACTGAAATGCAATAACAGAGAACTTGTTGAGCATAGTTTGATAAAGCTGAGTAAAAGAATGTAGTAATACATACATTAGAATATGTAGATTCAGTCTGAAATTGCTTGGGCTATGCTAATACCCTCTTCTCTCCGTTGGTGTGTAAACCTCTGAACCTTTGTGGAGCAAACATGGATACACTCTCGCTCTATTCCTGATCCTCCGCCTGGCATCCTACAAATGCTTTACTTGGGAGGCTGGAGGCTGAATATTTTCCATCTCAGTTGTACACATTCACATCCCACTGTCATGTAAAGCTGTTTTCTATCAAATGCAACCCTGAAATTGAGTATGCATGAGCACTGCACGGACTGCCAAACACTTGGCGGAAAATCCTTTTCATATTTTGAGGGGATGCCATTCTTTGAGTGTCCCATTGCTGTGTGCACAAATGCCCTCCCCTCGCCTTTTTCCTGCTGGATCTGGTACCAAGGGTAGTGCTTTCCCAGGATGTCGATACTCTGTCAGACAGTAGGGGGCACTGTGACTATGTGGCAGCCCTTTGCATCCTGTTGATTTCCTCCTGCAGTGGCTGGGTGGATTGTGGCCTCAACTACATTATATCTGTCTTCTCTCAGGAGCTTTCACAGCTTGGAGAAAATCACTGTGTTTGCTGATGATAATGCAATTAATTAAAGAGCCAATCATTTTAGCCCAGCACGTCTAAATTTGAATGGAACTTGTGACATATTGCTGTGTGTTGTACACACTGATGCTTTGCTGTGTCTCTGCTCATTATCAACAAACTTATTTTTTCGGTGAGTGACCACCATAATGCAAATCGTGTTTTCTTATTAATTTCAACATTCAAGATGCGGCATAACATGGCAGGAGGAGAGACAAACAAAGGCACAATCAGGCCTTCCCATTGTCTTTGTGTGAGCTCCCTTTAAAAGTAATTCTGTTTCCTTTTCTCTGAGTGTATTGTTGCGGCTTAATGTATGCCTCTGTGTGTACCGTAGCTGGGGGGCAGCTCTGTAGATGAGATCCTGTTCCCTTTCCAGATAAAGGCCCCTTCTCGTTAGTGTTGTGGTGGAGTTGGGAGGTTGCTCGCTCAATGCACAGACTTGCCAGTAAGGGCGACTGATGAGGAGGAATACATGCAGAGTGGAAGGCAGGGATTCCAACCAGCATCTAGGCTTTACCATCAGGCTGAGGGAATGAATAAAAACAGTTTGGTCCCAGATCTCCTATAATACCCCCTGCTTTGCACTCTTTGCTCCACTGGGACAACAGGGATGTGTTGTCAAGCATGTGTACACATCACAAGAATGTGAGTGGTCACGTGTCTGTGTATGTGTGTGCATGTGTTGGCGTGATATTCAGTCAGTGAACATTGTTGCATGGCTTTCTGGTGAAGCTGCAATGCTTCTGAAGACACAGAAGAGGAGAGAGAAAGCGAGCGATGGACAGTTTTCTTTTTTTTTTTTTTGTTTTTTTTTTTTTTACTCGATGAATTATGGCCCTTTTTTCTTTCTCCTGTGTTACTATTGAATTGTATCATCCTTGCTGCTTTGGCAGTATTGTTCACCTGACAT